GCCCTCAACATCAGCAACCAAACCGGCGGAGGAAAAACGGTGCGGCTCAGCGCGCGGCTCAGAGATGGCTCAGCACGCGGCTCAACGAGCTGCTCAGAAATGGCTCAGCAGCGGCACAGCGAGCGGCTCAGTGAGCAGCTCACACGTGGCTCAGCGCACGGCGCGCGTGCGTGGCGCAGACGGTGCGCTCTTGGAAAACGCCGCTGACGTGCGCGTGACGATGCGTGGAAGCGCGTTTGAATCGCGTCTGGCGTGTGGAGGCGCATGCAAGGGCGTAGAGGCGCGTAAAAGCCTCTCACGGCGTCAGGTGGCGCGTGAGGCCCATGCTCCGCCTTCCAGGGTGTTTTCTGGTCCGATTTCGGTACTCCCGAACTCCATTTTTCACAACAAAACATTTATGGCATCAAAAATCACATTTAATGAATATAAAAATGAGGTGTACCACACTCTCAATCTAATGGGAGTTGAAATTTTCCTCCTTTATAAACATTCATGTATATAATGTGTACATATATATATATATATATAAAATGTACACATGATTAGAGAAAACACGAAAATACCCATTCATGCTCTGATACCAATGTAAAACAAAGTATAAAAACGCAGCGGATGAAAGATTATGGTCATATCTTTTTCTGTAGAGTCTGAATTGAAGGATCTCGTGGGTAAATCACGTGCTTCCTGAATCTGATCAATTAACCCAGCAATGGAGTGATATTATAGAATGAATATCACCCACACAAGTCACAGTGCAAAGTGGCTCTTGATCGTTGTATTTTGGGAGAGAGTCAGTATATGGGAAAAACATATGACATACGTTGTTTTTCTCTTAATCACCCATATCCCATATCATATCAACTGATATAGATAGATGAGATATTATCCTATATATCTGATATGATATGGGATATGGGTGATTAAGAGAAAAACAACATATGTCGTATGTTTTTCTGAGTGGTTATCCAAATAGGTTTTGAATTTGAATTCAAAACTTATTTGGATAAGGTTCAAAAGGTTCAGAAAAGGGTCATGCCACATGGGTGCCCAATTTCTAACAATAATGATTGAGTTAATATTCAAAATACCACTGTTCAAAACAACATGCTACTTTAATCGAAACATGAAATTACACTATGTTTTTTCAACATGTTGCTACTATGGTTAATATTAATCAAGTAAATGTGTTAAATAGAAATTCAATGTTAAGGAAACTCAATACCAAACTCTAGTAACTACACAAGAAATCAATTGCATAAACAACATTTTGGTAGTTTAGGAGATTTGAGTTTTTATTAATTTCTAAAAACTCATAAGTAAGCTTTAAACTTCTAGCTAGTAGAGAGTTGAATGAAACTTTAAATAACTATTTCATTGACTTGGCTAATAGGCATTGTATTGATTAATGAAGATGAGATGCCAAGATATATATACAGTAGTCTATTGTATTGATTTGCAGTAGTCTATCAAGATATGTATACAGTATCAAATTAATATTTCATTGACTTGGCTAATAGGCATTCATTTGGGTGCTCTCTATATAAGTAGAGATTTATGAGACAGTTGCTGAGTACAAAGCCTTATAATAGGTCTTTATTTTAGTGCATATTTCAGTCATAAATCAGTCAGCCCTATAGATTTATGAAAATCCTTCATATACTGTGAACCATTCGCATTTTAGTGCATATTAAAGTCAGCCCTAATGATAGGTCTTATTTTTCCCGCATAATCTACCTTAACCAAAAGCAGTTCTCATAGTGGCTGTTTCGTATTCAAGACTAAACTTTGCACCAATTAAGGAGGCAACATTCTACAAACTAGGAACTCCCAAATTGATGACATTTTCAACTCTTAAAGCGAACATATTTAAACAAAATTAAATATTAATGATATTGTTCTTACCAAAAAACAAACGTCGAATGCCCAACTTAGATTCCCAAGAGTTGTGACAGTTTGGCGACTACGTTATTAAGATGCTCAACCTTTGTATTTGTCTCCTCCCTCGCTTTTTGTCCCTCCTTCCTCTTTTTCAACATCTCATTGGCTAATTTAATGCGCTTCTCTCGCTCTTACATTAACTCGTCATGATCTTTTTATCGCTCCTCACGAAGTGCCTCCACCTCAGCTCGCATTGCTTCTATGTCCTTATCGCGTGCTCGTGATGTAGCTACGGTAGAGGGTTGTGGGCCACTCCCAAATCTAAGCAAGTACCTTTTCTTCTGTCCAAGCACTTGCCTTGAAAGCTCCTCCTATGTCAATGACGTCCCCGACTCGATGGCAGCCGCTTGTACATTGACCATCTCTTGTTGTCATTGCAAATAAATAAGACAAAGAATTTACTAACATATATGTATTATTGGGTACTAAGTCAAGTCATATTGAATACTATTATTTCATTATTACAAACTTACATGCAGCTCACCGCATTTCGGATGGATCCAGTCATTCGTTTTTTTGGAAGTGTGGCTGTCCTCATAAAACATAGGAAAATCCAACTCTCCATTTTTTGCTACCTGTTAACACATCAACATATAAAACAATGACACTTTATGTAGATTTTAAGCAGAATTTAGTCGACAGATTTTTTTGTAGACACTATGTATAGTGACAGAGTTTTTGCAGACAGATTTGTAGTTTAGACAGATTTTGAATTCAAACATAGTATCATTAACAGATTTTTCCTGACAGATTTTTTGCAGATTTTTTCAAACAGATATGAAGGGTGGTGGGATCTATCAAAACCAATGCCATTTTAACACATAAGTTGCTTGTATATGGGTATCCCATCACTGTATGAGTTGGACTTCAAAAACTTAAGCATTTTTTTTTTAAGGACTAAAAGATTAAGGTTAGATATCACACAAATTGTATTTAAAATTAGATACAATTATCTTATAAGTGATGGATCTCACTTTTTTGAGATTTTCCTTCTTGTTTCTTTATTAACCTTTATGAAGCCTTATTTCATATAAGAAAGAAAATAAATAAAATCATGAAAGATTCTCTTATTTCAAACTAACATGTTCTTTTTTTTGTAACATCATTACCATACTTGCAAATAGATATTGCTGATCTAAAAAAGTTCCTCCTAATCTCTCTAACCATTAACAATCTTAACATTATTTATAGGCCTTTTTCCCCAATCTCATGTATGATTAAATGTCTCTCAACCCTCTCTCTCTCTCTCTCTCTCTCTACACATAAGTATACTCAACAACGAGGCCCTCTTGCTCTCTATCCTATATGTATTGTTTGAGATCTCTTGGGAGATTATCATCAAGGCATAAGAATTGATGGGTCTTTCTCAAAATCCAAGCCCTCCTGCTCACCTATTCTCCCAAGAACTTCAACTTAGGCTTTACCAAGCTTTTATATTTTCAATACCAATCCTCTTTTCCATAATTTTGTTTCTTTTGTTTTATTTGTTTTACCTCAAGAGGAGGTCCTCTACCCTCTCTTCTCCTCCCCCAGTACTTCCAATTACTCTGAGTCATCATCATGCTGCTACTTTTTCCCCCTTGGTATGCCATCTCTGTGTGTGTGTGTGTGTGTGTTCATCAACAATATATATTTTGTGATGCTCATCTTGTGTACAATATCCAGCTGCATACAATCATTTTTCCAAACAGTGGAGTCATAGATGCATGCAGAGTGCAAGTATATGAAATAATTTTACTTCAAAATGCAATCTGATTTTTAATTTTGTTGACAAAATTGCTATTCATACATAGTTTTTTTTTTTTTATAGAATTCATCAGGATGTGGGGGTAGCATTTGTAATTAAATGTTATTTATATGGATGCTTAATTTTAAAATGATAAGTCTCCATGCAAACACATCATTCTGTATAGTTTTTCTATTGATATATTTCAACTTTTTTTTTCTCTCTCTCTTTATTTATATTGTGTTTGTAGAGACTGCATAGATGGGGTTGAAGGGAGAGCTGAAAGAAAAGCTTCCAGTTGTCTTGTTTGATGAAGGTTTAAGGGAGAAGGACTCACAGTAAGTTCTCTTACATTTGATAATCCTATTAACAACAAACAGTCCATGCCAAGCATTAGGTTCAAGGCAGCAAAACAAACACCTAAACCAATACCAATGCAGATAAATTTTAGCACAAAGTAAAGGTTCCATGCAACAAGAACATACGAGCCAGGGAGAGCGAAAATTATAATTTGAAAATGTGTTTAAACAAAATTGAAACAGATTTTTTCAATCAGAATTGAAACAGATTTGTCAAACAGATTGTTCCATGTAACAGATTGTTCCATGTAAAGATTTTTCAGACAAATTATAATTTTTCAAACAGATTGTTCCATGCAGATTTTCAAATAGATTGTTTCAATCAAAATTATAATTTGAAAATGTGTTTAAACAGAATTGAAACAAATTGTTCCATGTAAAGGTTCCATGCAGATTTTTCAAACAGAATTGAAATAGATTTTTTCAGACAGCTTTTTCCAAACAGATTTCGAATTCAAACAGAGTATAACAGAGTTGTTTTCAAACTTAATTGTTTTCAGACAGATTTTAATAACAGAGTTTAACATATATATATATGTATCACAACATAACATTTTCATATCCAAACAACGTATTATGGATTCAAGTTTAAAAAAAATCAATCTCACCATAGCAGCCATTGCGATAGGAAATGAGCGAGACCCATTGGTATGATTGTACGACAATTGACTCCTATTACTCTTGCCAGCTTTTGACCGTTTCTAAAAATAAGACAAGCAGATAAACAATTTTTTGGTAAATATTAAGGCATATCACATTTACGCATAGATGTATGTACTCTATCTAGTCTATTATTTTACCTGGTGAGATGCATCTTGCCATGCCACATCGATCAAATGCTTCCAATCATCTAAACTCACCCCTAGGGGCAGATGAGCATAGATCTCATCACGTGGAAGTCCCTCTAACAATTCGAATTCTTGCTTCAAGGTGTACCTCCAATCTTTGTACAACCCATAGGCCTTCTTATTTACAATCTACTGTGCTTGTAAGTCATTGTGGAAATCGTCTCCAATTTGAAACTTGTCCTACAAGCATAACAAATGGAAATTGTAATAATTAAATAAATCCTTTTCTTATAAGCATACATAATACAATTACATGTTGTGGACAAGTAATATTAGTTACAAGAACAGCTTGGATGACAGCAGATTTTGTAGTCTCATCAAGATCCAACCATGACTTGACATCTTTCACAGGGCACAAGGTCCTAATTTGAATTCCTAACTCGTTAGTTGCTGGGGTGGCATACTTGCCAGTCATTGCACTCAACTCCTGATCGATGTGAACATAACATTTTCCCCCTTTCTTGGCTCTGATTATTTTTTGTATGCCTTTGCCAAGTGTCAGTCCGTGCTTACGTGGGGGCTTCGAAGTCCCTGTTAACAAAATAATAATACGAAAATTGGCTACAAATTGGCTACAAAAAAACAATGGCAATGGCAAGTGATAATTGACAAATTTGATACACTTTAATCTTACCTACGCCACTCGGCTGCGTTTCGGATGGGGCTTGTGTCTTATCAGAATCAACCATTGGTTGGCTAGTGGCATGATGAGATGGTCCCACATTTGATCGAACGGGGAGAACACGAGATGGAGCAACGGGTGATCCTAAAGGAATATCAGTCGGCGAGTCTGTTTCTGGCTGCGTGAGTGTCTTTTTCTGAAGCCGACCAGTCTTTAAACCAGGAACCATTTTCCAATCTGCAATAACACAAGTAACACTATAAAGCATGATATGCCTGTTGTAAAATACATTATAACGCATGAACTACATGAAATAAATTAGACAAAAATAAATTAGAAAGCATGAACTAACTCAACTAATACATGCTTAATTACATTATAAAGCATGATATACATGAACTAAATTACACGAAAACAATAAAAATAAATAAAACTTCGTCACAAAAAAAAGTACACCCAAATAATGCTTGATTATTGCACTTTCAAGCTAGAAGAATAAGGAATGGATCATATCAGGGCATCTAACTCTTATGTGAATATGGGACAGAAGGAATAAGTTAACCGACCTTGAACTATTTGCTGATTTGTTTAAGCTGATATGTTTGCTGCTGTTGATGAGTATTTTCTGCTAGTATTGTTGAGTTTTGATATTTTTTTGCCTGCTGCTATTTGTGGAATGGTGTGTCACAGGAGAGCTTTGATCTGCCTGATGCTGGATCTGTTTTAGTGATCTGCCTGATGCCTGATGCTGGATCTATTTTTTACAACAGGTTAACATAAACTACTAGGAGGAACTCCAAGCACATAAATACAAGAATTCAGACACTGAAATGAATAATTACTATAGTAATATGAAGCCCAAGTAGTGAACCAGGTACCTCAACATGTAATCAATGTCTACATTCCTATATCTTTACATGGTAATTAGCCCCAATATGTTCTAAGTTATAACAAGTAAAATTAGCAGATTTTTATTCTAGTTCAACTATATACAAACACAAGAAAGCTGATAAATTTCTTCCAATTGCAATAGCTCCAATGACTGGATCAAGAGATAACACTGGAAAAGAAAGATCACAAAAAAGGGGGAAGGGGTTACAGCTTGATCTAAATCTTATTCTTACAATGTATTTAAGATTCATAAGACCAATCATTATCATAACAAAAAAATGAGTTACAGAAAAAAATGGAAAATAAATCTTATTCACGAGCAACACTAAAAAAATGAGTTTGTTAGAAACTCTGTGTAGAAAATCAGCAGCCGCTAATGTTCTATCGCAACTAACTGCCATGAAGTTCAACACATGTTGTAAATAATGAAATTTCACTATACAAAATTATGTTATGCTTGCATCATGTAGATGCTGTTAGACTAACATGAATGAATGTTAAATCTACATTTACAAATTGGGTCCCTTGTGTCGGTTTTTGTTTTTTTTTATTATTATTTTAGTTTGAGCTGAATGTATATTATCTAACTCTTATTTGATCTTTGTATCTAAATAACTCAATAGAGCCTGTATTGAAGACAACATAAATTATGTTAGATGAGGTGTTTTGCAAATCTAATGGCTCCATTATGTTGCTTATATTTTTTGGGGATTTTAACTTTGTGTATCGTCCGATGCTGTGACTTTAAACCACGATCATGTTGATACAAAGCCAATAAAAAAGAATGTTGGCACATATGAACCAAAGGTGTAATAACTTTTTTGAATTTTTATGAAACAAGCATTCACCAGTATAAACAAGGTAAGCAGGATCAAAACTCAACAGAGATGCAAGTCTCTTTTCTTCTTTATTTATTTATTTTTGAGGAGGTTGTTACAATAAGTTGACCACAAAAAGGTAATAACAATAAAGATGTAAGGAACAGGGTATTTAACATACAGAAAGGATAATTCCATGCTGATATCACCAATACGACACCTAACGGTTCTGGCACTATTTCTGCAGATGATGGAAAAATGGTTATTGAGGTTTTAACCTGCAAAACATGAAAAGAATTGCATTACATAATTCTGACTGAATGACTACCAAGACAACATGGTATGTGACAGTTTCGGGTTTAGATTTAGAAAAAAATTACCTTGTCTGGAATCATCCAATGCTTAAGTTCTTTTAACATGAATTCACATGAGGACTTTACTAGAGCAATCTACATGATAAACAATAATAATCAAATTCCAAGGATGAAAATATTAATCAGAATAATTAAAGAATAGGGAATAGAAAACAATGCATAACATGTAGAAGTTCCATACAGAAGTTATTTCACCAAAATCTTCATGAGATAAGTGGCTTTTCTGAACTGGCCGATTCTTCATCAACTCAGTATAGACCATTAGCTACTAAACAAGTTTCTTTTAGAATAAACCAATGTATGGAACTACTTAAAATTATTAACATTAAACAGAAGCAAGTGGTCTCCACAATTCAACTAAAACTGTGAACGTCAACTCAAAATTTACTCAAGTGCTTGCACTCCATAATGCCTGCGAACTTGCAGCAATCCCTTGTAATTTGGAAGGGCATATAACAAACACTGAGAGCATTTTATTCATTCATCAGACATAAATTTTTCTTTTTCATTTTCATAAAACAAAGAAACCCAAAAGTATTGCATAACCATGAGAAATTCACAAATTAATGAAGTATACATGTAATGATTTAATTATTGGATATTTTTATAGTAAATCTAATAGTAAAAATTGTGTCTTTCCTTTCACATTGTATGCATTCTTGTATCATTTCGAATTGATTCACTAATGTTCTTCAAATTATTCCTAATATTTGAGCAACTAGACAAAGTTATGTTGACTTATTGACTTGATCATGCCCCATGCCCTTCAACTAATTATCACCCTTCTCAATCATCAGCTGAATAAACCCAGATTTTTAAACTGCAGGTTCTTTATTTCATTCATTAAAAGGAATAGTTAGAGTTGAAGAAATCAGTCAAACATCATAAATGGATGTATAACAAATTTGTTACTGAGCCATTATGTACAACCTAGCTCCTTGAATATGCTCTAAGCTATTCTATTAGTAACTACCTAATTTGATACACACCAAAAGGTTAGCCAACTTTTGTTGTAAAAAGTAGGTGTGGTTAAGTAATAAACGCTCCTACCAACTACCTATCTAAGCAAATTCTTCATGCATGATATAAAAGATTATTACCAAACAATTACATGCTCAAACCCTGGAAGTCCTCGCAGCTCTTGCTTTTTTTACAACAGTCCTCACAACTTAGCCAAAACGGTTAGTACCAAACAAGATAAAAAGATAGTTATTCCAGTTCAACTACTGCTACAAGGTTGTAAAGATATTGTTTTCTTATAATTTTCCTATTAAAAAATTACTCTTGTAAAGTTTTCTTTCTGACAATTTTTAAGTTTCATCTTTGGAAGGTAATATGATTGGTAAATTTAGGCATTTATTATGTTCATTAACAGGATTACTCTCAAGAGTTGAACCTCCTTCAAGGAGTAAAATGTACATGCAATTTCTTATTGATATCAAAATCTAGAAAACTAGGGATAATAACACTTCTAGAAACAACCTTAGAAGGAAGAACACTTCTAATAAGGTGCCATGTCCGTGTCAAACACCTTTGGACAGTTCATATCAAGATTCTACATCAACATCTGTATCAAAATCACTTTGTAGGTCATTTTCCTCGTCTGTGTCGTCACCCTCCCTCATTAATCCATCTTCATCATCATAGATGAAGGCATCATCTATAACACCCTTGGCTTCTACACCTCTGACAGATTGCAAAACTTCCATTGGAATAATTTTAGATTCAATATCATGTCGAAGCAAAACCACATCATCATCAATAGCCATAGCAGGTACGACCCCGGTGGTTTCTTCTTGTTGGAACACATCATCAAGTTGTACGAAATCCATCTCTGGAACATCCCAAATTCCTCGATGTTGGAACTTTTCTACGACTCTCCAATTGGTACCTAATGTGGTGTCATTAACATAGAATACTTGTTCAACCTGACTTGGTAATACAAATGAGTCATCTTTGTACCATCGACTTGTTACATCAACTGTTGTCAAATGTGGTTCTACACGCATAGTTCTACTACTACCGGTGTTAAACCATTCACATTGGAACAATACAATCCGACATCTGAACAAAGAGTTCAGTTCCCACACTCTGCACAAGTGTCCACAGAAGTGTATCAATTGGCCTTCATGCTCCCCTTCCATGACTAATCCACTATTCTGACTTTTTCGACGGTTGTCACGGTCGATAGTATGATAACGGACACCATTACAAATGCATCCTAAATATGTGTTCACTAAGCCACTAGGACCATTGGCTAATGACCACATATCATCAGTTGCTTTGGGGGAAACTTGGCTCCGCAATTCATTCATCTACGTGAAGAACATGTGTCATGTTACAAGCATTCGTGACATTTACGTAATGTACGATTTATGGTAGGATATGAGAATACTAGCTTACATGATCTTTGAACCATTTAGGGAATTCTTTTCGATGTCTGTTTTCGATGTCGAACGCACCGGCTCTTTGGTGTAATAAGTTCTTGTGCTCCTTAGTTACAAGAAATGCGATTCAAAAATATTTACTAAGATAAAGACTAATCAATTTACAATAAAAACATTATAAATACGTTTGAAGGATTCATACTCTACGTGTTTATCCATTTCTGTGCTATTGTGTAGGACAAACCAATGAGCCATCTCGCGTTCAGCTACGGACACATCGGGCACCCTTGTCATTAGACCAAAGGGACGCACAGTTTGAGTGAATACCACCAACCCTGGGCCACAGTCACCCATGTCATAATTCCTTTCTAGGCGGTTAAACAATGTTTCAACTCCATCCAAATACATTGAACAAAATGTTGTACATTCTTTGGAAATGTAAGCCTCGGCAATAGAACCTTCAGGATGAGCTTTGTTGGCCACAAAACCTTTTAGACGACCAAGCAACCTAACGAGCAAGCCGATGACAATGTTATACTACAATCTTTATATCAGCAGTAAAGAATTAATTAAAATTTGACAGCAATACGAGGGCTGAGTTAATACCTCTCAATTGGGTACATCCATCGATATTGCACTGGGCCTCCAAGCATAGCCTCTCAAGGCAAGTGAATTTCCAAGTGGACCATGACATCAAAAAAAGCCGGCGGGAAAATCATCTCAAGCTTACAAAGTATGAGTACGATTTGTTCATCCAATTTCTGCAAATCTGAACGCCTCAATGTCTTTGAACACAATTGTTTGAAGAAATTTCCTAACTCAAAAAGTGTCGTTTCGATTTCCTTATTAAGGTAACCACGCATCCCAATTGGAAGAAGTCGTTGTATAAGGACATGACTGTCATGACTTTTGAGGCCAGATAATTTTCCAGCTTGAGCGGTCACGCAATTGGAGATATTTGCTGCATAGCCATCAGGGTACTTCATTGATTTCAAGAAATCACAAAAGCCTTCTCTCTCTTTCACAGACAATGTGTACAATGCGGGAGGCTTCTCAAAGGACCCATTAGAACGCCTCTTCAAGTGTAACTCTTTACGTATTTTCATGTCCTCCAAATCTAAGCGTGCTTTGTCCGTGTCCTTGTTCTTTCCATCTACGCTCAAAAGTGTCGCAGTGACATTGTCACATATATTCTTTTCAATATGCATGACATCAAGGTTGTGTCGAAGCTTCAACGTTTTCCAATAGGGCAAGTCAAACATAATGCTTCTCTTGCTCTAATTCAAATTTTGATGTTCATTCCTTTGTTGTTTTCGATTTTGTGGGTGCTTTCCATACAGCTTGTAAGTCCCAGAATTAATTTGCACTTGTATTTGGTCCCCCGATAAATCCAAAGGTTTGGACCTATGCTCCTTTTGACCATTGAAGAGCTTACTTGTTCACCAAGTGTGGTTCTCAGGCAAGTGGCGACGAGCACCCATATACCCTATTTTACTTCGTAATCCCTGGGACGATGCATTATTGTTACAATTAGGACAAGCCAAGTAACCCTTTGTACTCCACCCTGACATGTTACCGTACGCAGGGAAGTCATTTATGATCCACATTGCCGCCGCATGCATTCTAAAAATTTGCCCATTCGATGCATCATATGTTTGCACACCATACTCCCACAAATTCTTCAATTCTACTATTAATGGTTGCAAGCAAACATTAATGTCTCTTCTAGGTGCCGAACGTCCGAGAATAAGCAATGACATCGTGCAATATGGCTCTTTCATGCACTTCGACGGTGGGAGATTGTAAGGCATTAAGATTACGGGCCACATGGTATATGATGTGCTCATAGTTCCAAATGGATTGAAACCATCTGTTGCCAGCCCTAGCCTTACATTTCGAGAGTCATCAGAAAACGTCGGATGTTGCTTATCAAAGTCCTTCCATGCTTCACCATCAGCCGGGTGCCTTAATATGTCATCATCCACACGCTTCTCATTGTGTCATCTCATATCTGCGGCTGTTTTTTTGGACATATACAGTCTTTTCAACCTCGGTGTCAAAGGAAAGTACCGCAGTGCCTTGTATGGAATCTTTTTACCACCATCATCGTTCAACTTGTATCTACATGCTTCACATGTAGGGCATTTCTCCAAATTAGCACTCTCCTTCCAAAATAGTGCACAATCATTCTTGCACGAATGAATTGTTTCATATCCCAAACCCAAGTCACGTAAGAACTTCTTAGCATCATAGAGTGTCCATGGAACTGTTTGATCACATTCTGGTAGAATGTCCTTGAATACCTACATAACCATATCGAATGACTTGTTGCTCCATTTGTTGTACACCTTTACATGAAGCATCTTAATGATGAATAATAACACAGAAAACTTTTCACATGTCGGGTAAACTTTGCGTTGTGCATCTTCAAATAACCTAGTGAACTTATGCAAATCCTCCCTCTCCAAACCATTAGGTTCCTCGTCGGTATGATCATCCATAAGACCACTCATGTAAATTTCTTCCAACATAATAGGCAATTCATCCATGGGCGGATCATCGATATCTGTCATACATTCGCCACTACCTCCTCATTGGTCATTAGATACACTAGGATGAGACATGGGAACATGTTCCCTGTGGTGCACCCAAGTTATATACGAAGATGCCATTCCTCTTCGGATCAAGTGCATCCACACAACTTGTCTCCTATATTTTGTGTCATTAATGCAATCGACACACGGACACCTAATGTCATTCTCTACGCCTAACTTTGCCGCAGCAAAATCAAGGAATGCCTTCACCCCTTGTTCATACTCTTTACTTGTCAACCTATTGTTTATCGTCATCCAACTCTTTGTCCATTTTTTGTCAC